CCCCAAAACCCCAAAACCCCAAAACCCCAAACATTAAAATATAGTTAAAATTAAGGTGGTTAGACTCATAATTAGGTTTATATTTTATTTGCTTTACTTATTATTATGGATAATAATGGAAGCTCTCCTGAGAGACTGAAAGAAATGAGACTTATAAAAGAGGCCATGAGCGATGATAATTTTAGAAAGATTTTCATGAAGGGGTATAAAACTCTACACACTAGTCCAGCTAGAAATAATTCTAAGGAAGTTGAGAAAATTTTACAAAGACAAATAATCCAAACTGATGAGCATGAGTACTTTTAAAAAAGAATCAAGAATCAAAAGACTAAATCTATTGACATTTCATTTCCAAATACAATGAGAATATCTTCAAATATCGAAAGAGAGAGCATCTATAACATTAGGAATCTATTGAGACAAAACAGAATATTTCATAATACCTTTAAACCCAATCTTGAGACTATAGGCACAAAAAAGTTTCTAAATGGAGTTTATTCCCCAAATCAGCCTGACAGTAAAGATGAAATAATGATAGCGATACAGGATTATGCTTTTAAAACTGGAAATTACAAAGACTAATCAGTTAAACTCTATGAAATATTCAATAGAGAAGAACTCTCAAAAACTCCCAAAGAAGAGGAACCCTTAAATGATGGGCAAATACCTATTTTCATGCAAACATCGCCCAAGTAGGTGACAGCTAAATTAATGAAAGATCTGAGGGAAAACGCTCTTCTTTTTGGATTCAAAAAGATGACTGCTTAAAAGCTTATCGAGATACGAGATTATGTGGACTCTAGAATGGAATTATGGGAACCTGACCTAAATCAATCTCTTGAGTTGCAAGTTAAAAAAATCGAGGAGTTACTAAATGATGGATACACTTTTGAGATAAATGATAAACTTAAAAATGACAAAAATTTCTAAAGGATTGTCGCAAAATTATTGACCAAGAAGGATAGCAAATCTTCACATAATGCTAGTTTTATTAATCATAGTCCAAGTGTATCCACTAACTTAAATTCTGGAATAGTACTTCCTTCGATTAATACCAAAGGAAATCAAAATTACAGTGGATTCAATACCTCAATGTCAAAAGACTATCCAAATGTAAATAGCAATAGCATAAGTGTAAGTTTCCGAGACTAAGATGAGCTCAATTAAGATCTAAAGATTGGCATATCTACCATCTAATCTTCTGTGCTAAGAGGAGGTGATTAAAATTAAACATTGACTATAGAAGACTAAAGTGTAATGGTAACTCTTAGAGATTCAGAGATAGGCTAAGCGAGTACTACTCATATCAATCCTTTTAAAAAGAGAGAGATAAGATCTCTTTCTAAGCTTAAACCAAAATCTTAAAATAATTCTCCAATCAAACTTGAAAAAATACGAACTAGAGATAGAGGGGAAACTCCTTAGCTTAGTCCTGAGCAAGAACTAAAGAGCAAGAATTTTAAGATTAAAAAGTTTGAGCTAAAATAGATAATTGAACAATGCTCGCCAAGAGAAAGGGAAGAACTGATCGGAATAGGTGCCTAAATTGAAAAAATTAAGGAGGAGTATGATGGTGAAAACGAAGAGATCTCTAGATGCCTTGATATCTATCAAGAATAGCTCTTAGTCGGATTATCTGATAATAAATTGCAAAATATCGCTTAGATATAGGAGAATAAAAGGATCTAAGAAAGTGATAATTATGACAACTTTTTGAGTCCTGAAATAATCGCTCAACTCAAGTCATCAGATAAAAAACGAATTCAGACTTTAATCAAGAGCAAAAAGAAGAAGCTATGGAAGCCCAACAGACTCGAGTTAAACAGAACCGTTAAAAATATGATTGATAAGAGCGAAGTATAGTGAAATAAGAAGTAAAAGTATAGATAATTTATGAATCAATATATCTATTTTAAGAAAGATAGATATAACCAGCAATTATTAAAAAACTATTTGTGCTAATCTACATCTAATTTTTAATTATGTTCAGATGCAAACTACTTCAATTAGCGGGGTTTTGGGGTTTTGGGGTTTTGGGG